GACTCCCCCTTGCATACAGTAGGTTAGGCCAGCCTTAGGAACTGTTAGTTGTACAGTCATGTATTTACACTCACTGCCCTCTCCCTCAGAATGAGTAGATGCTGGGTGCTAATTGAAGTATAGTTAGGTTTGTGGGGCAAGAGGTGGACTCTATCACTTTCCTCGGCCAGAAGGATCCCCAGACCTGAGTAAGAACATGCACAGCCCACCCTGTGGCTTCAGCAGCTTCAGCTGGAGGTCACCGTACCAGAAGCATGAGATAAGACTGGACGGCGCTGCAGTATTTTCTCCCTGCCTGGTTTAATAAAAGGAAGCTCTCAGTGACGGCACAATGCGGCTGGCTTGAGAAGCCTGACACAGGCTTCCATCACCTTCCCTTGTAAGAGCAGGTTTCTGGGTCCTATTGCAAGGTGGAAAAAGAGGTGGAGAATGCAGTTTGATCCTGATAGCCATTACCTCTCAAAGGGAGAAGAATGGGAATGGAGCAGCAGTTGTTTATCAGGTCTCTAGTGGAATGCCAGTGTTGACTCGTGGGAGCTGTTCTTTCTGCTCCACAGAGGCACAAACGACATAGGTGGTGTTCATAATGTTTGGCCAGCGATTGTAGAAACCAGCCTCAGGGTGCTTTTCCTCTGTATGTCAAGGCAGGTACCTCTTTTGCAGGTATGTTTAGCATGGGCAGAAGCTGAAGTGAGCAAAAATCGAATGCTTTAGGCCTGCAGCTGAAAGAAAAAACAGCACCTACTACTTTAAAAAGCTGTTTCAGAAAACAGACCAAGTTTGGCGATTTGGAAAAGTCATCAGTGGGCGTACTGAAGGTATCATATCGATCTTCGCATCATGACTATGCAGGCAACAGTTCACAGCGTTAATTACAGTGCATGTCAGAGGTGAACAGGATTTTGGGGGGGATGGGGTGGGGGGGAGTGTAGGTTTTTATCTTAAATTTCATTTTTGTTATGGGGCTGTTAACAAGCACAGCAAAGGGTATCTTTATACTGTTGTTGAGAGGAATCGTGCCGACAGCATGGAGTTGCAGCCGGAATGCCGCTGTTGCCATGCCAGCGCAAGCCTATTAATACACACCTGCGTGGTTCGGTGTCACACACGTGCTGAGAAACATGTGGGCTGCTGGATTTCCGTGGGTCAGCGTGATGCATTTGTATGACCGAGCCAAACAACATCAAAAAGTAATGTTTATTACTTCTATCCTCTTCATTATGGAAAATGGAAAGAATGAATGGGCTACATGTAAAAAAATACATGTAAAACTAAATGGGAGTTGCCGGAACAAATAGGCCACAGGGATCGGATTTAATGAGTGTCCATGTTCAAGAAGAAAACTTGATTAGGGAGTTAGAAAAAGCTCAGATAGGAGAGGAGCCCAGTCATCAGCCTTCCCAGAACCACCTACACCTTACTCTATTTCCAGTGTGGGACTTGTCGGCTCGTACACGTTTCAGAGCTCGTCTTCAGTAGGTCAGGGAAGTACGCTTGGCACAGAATCTGCAGCCAAGTTCAGCGAGTTGCCGGAATGTAGGGCACCATTGCGTGCTGAAATTAGAAGCCCCAGTCCCCTCCTGAGATAATTGTGTGTCATTGGGCTGGCTGTGATTTTCATTCAGGTGCCAAGAAAAGAAATGCTCTTTCCCGGCTCTGTATCGTTTTATCTGCCTGCAGCAGGGGATCAGCTTCCACATGCATAGAGCTAGCTTCCCAGGTGTGTTAGACTACAAGTCATCATTAAAGGATTTAGTGCGTCATTGTCCCTTTTTTTCATTAATTTGGTTATCAAGCTCTTTGCCTTTAAACTTTCCTACACAGATCTAGTGTCTCTGTCAAGTTCAGATTGGGCGTGGCAGGGAAGGCAGGTACAGTTGTTCAGTTCTGTGTTAGTCCTGTTTGTGATGGCTCCCTTGGAAGCATATTTTTGGAGGTTGTGATACACAGACAAAATTAACCTGTAACAGTTCACATCTCACCCTCCCCCCACTTTCTCCATCTTTATAGGAAGAGAAGATATCCTGATAACATCAGGACAATAAATAAATGTGAAAGAAAGCCACCGGCAACATGCAGTTTTAGTAAATGAAATGCAGTTGTAACGTTTCAAATTCTAACACATGACAGTATTGTACTGCCTTGTAATCTACGTATGCATGAAACACAGTATCTTGAAATCAAAACAAGGCTGACGCAGAAATGACATCATTTTGGCTTTCAAAGCCAATCAACTACTTTCGGCCATGTTCATCCGCATCCTGCAGTTTGAACAGTTTATTTGGCAATCCTGTGTGTTTTGACCATGAGATGTGCTCATGGTGTTATCAGGTTTTAGCCACCAGCTGACGTTATTCACAGGACGTGATATTTCTACCTCCTCCTTCAGAAGAAATATTGAGAACAGTTGGACTGATCGCACTGTGTTATGATGACTGACTCCTTAAACTTGTTTTGAATCAGTATTTTAGTGGGATTCAGTACATCAGATTATGAAATATTTGTATTACATACAGCAGGGTCTTTATAAGCATGTCAAGTTAAAAGCATGTCAAGAATTTCCCTTTGACTTTAATTGATTTTGCTTTCTACTTTGTTAGTATATGGGCATGTTCATTACAGACCCATATGTCTTTGGTTTTGTGAAACACAACTGTGACATCTAGTATACAGTAAGACCCAACCACAGTTTTAATTGAAGTATTGACAGATAACCGATACCTGTGGTTTCTTTAACAAAACTGTAGGCATTATTTAATTTCTCACATCTTGTCACCTCATGTGGTGTAGGCTCAGCTTTTTTAGTGTCTGCATTTTTCTTCCTCTGCTGTTCTCTGATTAATAGCTGCTGAAGTGACATTTCACAGGTATGAACTGTTCCTGGGAGGCAAATATATTGGCAGAAGTAGTGAAAAGAATTAATATTACACCAGGGTGGTCCTTAGCTTTTTGTAGAGCCATTTATTGCTTGTTGACTTTATGGATTAAGCATACACTATTTTAGATCTCTATTTCCTTGTGCTTGTCATTGGTCTAAATAACAATCACGTGATCAGACATCCCTGTCTGTGTTGGCGACGTCATCCAAGTTTTCATTACTAGCTGATCCAAAGCCATATTCCATTTGATTATGTTGCACAATATGCAACTGATCTTGAGCTGATCTTGAGATCTTTTTTGAGTCAATTAAATCAGCTAATCAAAGATCTGACTGCCTAACATTTCTCCAATGGTGCTGACTAGGAAAGGTTAGGTTCCCTGGCTGGTCCCTGTGCCATCCCACCGTAAGACAAAGGGAAACCAGTGGTACCTAACTTCAGGGTCTTCAGCAAAACTACAGAATCCCCGGTCACTTAATTAAGCTAATTGTTGGCTTAATTACTTGAGATTAATTTGACCTTTATTCTCTGATCAGGACATCTGTGTAATGTTTTAGGACAGGAGTCTAGAGACCATTGAATTTTGACATGGAGCTGGACCAATCTTGTTGGGAAACTTCAATTAGTAAGAAGATAGTGACCAGATGTTTATGACAATCTTCTTTTGTTTGTAAGATTTGATATTTTCTCACTTTACCAAGCTTTTAGTTATAAAAGAGACCTTTTAAATAACCTATTAGGCCCTGGGTCAAACTGTCATATGCTTACTGCAATAGTTAATGCACCTAGTAATGAATGCTAGGAGAATTAATCTTTTCATCAGCTCTGCAGTCTTAAAGTATAGCATCATAGAGTAGTGGTGAGGACTCTGGTGCGTTGCTGGTGTACTCTTGAACAAGGTGGTTCACACAGAGTGATTCAGTAAATGTCCTTCTGTATACAGTACATGTCAGTGTAAATGAGTCAAATCGTCAGTGTAAATGAGCGCGTTTTCTCAGTTGCCTTACTTGGTTACCCAGGTTATAACTGCTTAAATATAGGATTTGACTGATTTCTATTTGAGTTAAGCCTCACTGTATAAACCCGATGCAATTGGATAAAGATTGCTGTTTTAATTTTGAAAAAGTATTGTCAGTAATCCCAAAAATGGCATTTTACCATGACTTAGTGGACATTTTTTATACTTGGTCAAGTTGTCCCTGGATTTATTTGGGAAGCTGCCTTTTGCAGCATTGTCAGGCACCTGCTATTCTTAGAGACTGACATCTGATCATCACCAGTACTCTTATAAATTGTCTCCTCTGTGGAGAAAGGATAAGAAATATAAATTAACCAAATGCATCTGCCCTGGGGCATGTTTCTATCTAGTTCCTATTCTGTCCAAAATGTTGGGTTCAGGTTATTGATTGGGTATGACTTCTACTCAAGCTGTGTGATATGTTCTTAGGTAATTAGCTCAGTAATCTGGGCAGGAAAAAATATTTTTGCATGGAGTTTGGTCCAGTGTTTGTATTTGAAGCCAACAGTTTTAACATGTAATGAGATTTAGCAAGGAAGTACGAAGTAGATATCCCGTGCAGTTTTCAGAAATTCAGCATCCTTTTATTTTTTGTTTTTTTTCATTACCATCAAATATCAACATTAGTGTCCTGAATTTTTTCCAAAGGCTATTTTTTCTGGTGGAAAAGCCTTCCATCCTCCACCCC